CGTAGGCTATGGAATTGAAGAGGCCCTGGAACAAGAATAATGTAAGAAACTCTACTCTTTATACGGACTCTCGTAGCGATTGGATAGAGGCACGGACCATGAGAGAGGCAGTGCCTACGTCCAGCAAGCACAGCCAGAAGACTGGACGCTGTGGAGCAATGAAGCTTTGGATGCGATTCATTGTCCCACACGTCCAGGAACCGATTAAAATCAGAGGATAGTATCCCAGCCTGTTCATAATCTAAGAGAAGAAAAATCAAACCAAAGTTTAAAACCAGCGACAACGCGAGTTATACCTTAAGATCGGCTTTTATCTCCACTTGGCGCTGTCGATCCGACATGCCAGCAGCCATCTGCAAAAGCAAGAAGTTCCATATCGCGGAAAAAAGAGACCCTCTTGCTTGCTTACACGGCTCGCATAGTTGAGCATACGAGTAACTTGGAAATAAATAAAACCATTGAACAAGATGGCCCCCCACAAGGGAACGTAGAAACTTATAAACCGAAGGACCTGGAACAAAGAAAATGGATCGATCACACAATAGAGAAGCTCCAAGCAAAGAGATTACCTCTCCGGCTTTGGTCTGCACCCAGCACCAAGCTCCAACTTCGCCATAGTCAGTTCCCACAGATGGAAGAACAGTCATGATAAGAGAAGCTCCTGGAAAACATGGAGAAGTGGTGTAAAACCATGAAACTTTGTGCGAGGAAGAGCATACCCCAGACGTAAAGATGAAAGATTGGACCGAGCTCTTCCACATCTGTTTTGTGCCTCACCACAGTTCGATGCAACGTAAACGCGATGGCGGTCGTCCATAGAAACGATGCCACCGAGAAGAACTGCGTACAGTAGCCTTGCATGTAGCACAAGAAGCCTCGTCTTCCAGGATCACTGCCATACTGCACCACTGTGAGTGAATCCAGCCACAAGCGAAGAAACAAAAGGAAAAAAACGATAGAAACGATAGAAAGTTGGAAGAAATCGTCTTCCAGGATCACGAAGAAACAAAAGGAAAAAAACGATAGAAACAATAGAAAGTTGGAAGAAATCATCTTCCAGGATCACTGCACCACTGTGAGTGATCGAAGAAACAAAAGGAAAAACGATAGAGACGATCGAAAGCTGGAAGAAAGCTTACCCTAAGAGATTGAAGAAGCTGCAAAACATATCCTGGCAAAAAAGAAGAGAGATTGGAATGAAGAGCTCGAATGGAATCCAAAGAACTTACAGAGAGCGAGAGGTAGAAGACGAGGCGGAATGAGAACTTGCGAAGCTCCTTGAAGAGGAGGAAGCACGCGACGATGAAGAAGGATCCAGCGAAGGAGAAGGCGGAGGCGCCCACATTTATCCTGGAGATGGCCCGCGCCTCCTCCGCGCTCAATCCCGCGATCATCCCTCCGCCAGATCTAAGATCATAGCGTTTGCCCTAGCATTTGTCCTATGCCCTAATGCTCTCCATGGAATCGCAGGGCAAGGAGAATGACAATGTCGTGGTCGAGGTGCTGTTCTTCGCGAGGGCGCGCGAGATCGTGGGTGTGTCGCAGATGAAACTGGAGCTACGGGCGAGCTCCACCACGCGCGATTGTATGGAAGAATTGCTATCGCGATTCCCGGGATTGGAGGAGATCAAGAGCGTTCTCATTGTAGCGCTCAATCACGAGTACGTTTGCGAGCCATCGCAGCTCAAGCACGGCGATGAAGTAGCCCTCATCCCGCCAGTGAGCGGAGGATAGTGACGAAGGCATATTCCCGGCGAATGTACTCTTCGTACGGACGGAATAAATTTGGATGTACGGACGTGGCCCTAAAAGCGCCCTATAACCGACGGTTCAGATCGGTGGGTGACTCACCTTGATCTAACGGCTTCGGCCCGGAATGGCCCGATGCATCTAGAATATTCACGAAGGCGTGGACGGCGGGATGGCGCCGAGACGCGATCCTACGGCTTGTGGGTGCCCGGGTTTTCTAGAAAGTTCTGCTAGAACCGTGCCGGTCTTTATAAAGAAGCCCTCCCAAAGAAGAGAGGAAAAGAAGAGAGGTTGTGAGATTCAGCTATGGCGAAAGAAGGTCCCGCTGTGGGGATTGATCTGGGCACGACGTATTCTTGCGTCGGTGTGTGGCAGCACGATCGGGTGGAGATCATCGCCAATGATCAAGGAAACAGGACGACGCCATCGTATGTGGCCTTCACCGACACGGAGCGGCTGATTGGCGATGCCGCCAAGAACCAGGTCGCGATGAATCCCGTCAACACTGTCTTCGGTGAGTGGAATCTCTACTAGATCTAGGAATTTCGATCGAAATCTGCGTGTTCTAGTCGAAATCTAGCCTTTTCTTGTCGAAATCTAGCTTTTTCTTGATGTTCTTCATGTAGATCTAGTTCTCGGACCTCTCGTCTGACTGTTCTTGTGCGATTTCTTTCTCAGATGCGAAGCGTTTGATCGGCAGGCGATTCTCGGACTCTTCGGTCCAAAGCGACATGAAGTTGTGGCCATTCAAGGTCACTGCTGGTGCCGCCGAGAAGCCGATGATCACGGTCACCTACAAGGGCGAGGAGAAGACCTTCGCGGCCGAGGAGATCTCTTCCATGGTCCTGAACAAGATGAAGGAGATTGCCGAGGCCTTCTTGGGCGCCACTGTGAAGAACGCGGTCATCACGGTGCCCGCTTACTTCAACGATTCGCAGAGGCAGGCCACCAAGGACGCTGGTGTCATCTCGGGCATGAACGTCATGAGGATCATCAACGAGCCTACCGCCGCGGCCATCGCCTACGGTCTGGACAAGAAGGCGACGAGCGCTGGCGAGAAGAACGTCCTCATCTTCGATCTGGGTGGCGGAACCTTCGACGTCTCGCTGCTGACGATCGAGGAGGGCATCTTCGAGGTGAAGGCGACTGCCGGAGATACTCACTTGGGTGGTGAGGACTTCGACAACAGGATGGTGAATCACTTCGTCCAGGAATTCAAGCGCAAGTACAAGAAGGATATCAGTGGAAATCCCCGGGCGCTGAGGAGACTGAGGACCGCTTGCGAGCGCGCCAAGAGGACTCTCTCGTCCACCGCGCAGACGACAATCGAGATCGACTCGCTCTTCGACGGCATTGACTTCAACACCACCATCACCCGCGCCAGGTTCGAGGAGCTCAACATGGACCTCTTCAGGAAGTGCATGGAGCCAGTGGAGAAGTGCCTGAGGGACGCGAAGATGGACAAGAGCAGCATCCATGATGTTGTGCTCGTTGGCGGCTCCACCCGAATCCCGAAGGTGCAGCAGCTGCTCCAGGACTTTTTCAACGGCAAGGAGCTGTGCAAGAGCATCAACCCGGACGAGGCGGTGGCGTATGGGGCCGCGGTCCAGGCCGCCATCCTGAGCGGGGAAGGCAACGAGAAGGTCCAAGACCTCCTCTTGCTGGACGTGACGCCGCTCTCGCTTGGGCTGGAGACCGCCGGAGGGGTGATGACGGTGCTCATCCCCAGGAACACGACCATCCCGACGAAGAAGGAGCAGGTGTTCTCGACGTACTCGGACAACCAGCCTGGAGTGTTGATCCAGGTGTACGAGGGCGAGCGGACGAGGACCCGGGACAACAATCTGCTCGGCAAGTTCGAGCTCTCTGGGATTCCTCCTGCGCCTCGGGGTGTCCCGCAGATCACTGTGTGCTTCGACATCGACGCGAATGGCATCCTCAACGTGTCGGCCGAGGACAAGACGACTGGGCAGAAGAACAAGATCACCATCACCAATGACAAGGGTCGGCTGAGCAAGGACGAGATCGAGAAGATGGTGTCCGAGGCCGAGAAGTACAAGTCCGAGGATGAGGAGCACAAGAAGAAGGTGGAGGCGAAGAACTCGTTGGAGAACTACGCCTACAACATGAGGAACACCATCCGGGATGACAAGATCGCCGGGAAGCTGGATGCTGACGACAAGAAGAAGATTGAGGACGCGGTGGAGCAGACCATTCAGTGGCTGGATCAGAACCAGCTGGGCGAGGCGGACGAATTTGAGGACAAGATGAAGGAGCTGGAGAGCATCTGCAACCCCATAATTGCGAGGATGTACCAGGGAGCTGGAGGGGCCCCGGGTGATATGCCCATGCCCGGTGCTGGAGCTGGCGGGTATCCGGGTGCTGGAGGTGGTGGTGCCGGGGCTGGGGCCGGCGCCGGTCCCAAGATCGAGGAGGTTGATTAAGCTCGAGAAAAGAAGCTGAGGTTTTGCTTGTGAAATTTTTTTATATTTAGAAAGAACCGCATTATCTCCGGTGGTTCCGAGTATTGCCGAGCCTCTTTTATACGGGCCATAGTGTCTTGGCCTGCGTGTCTTTGAGGAACCCTAACTTGAACTCCTTTGGGACGGCCCTTGAGAACCGGGTGGACGTTGATCCTCGATGCACTCGCTTCATCGCTCTCGATTGACTGATGGGCCATACGATCGGGTCGTTGGACAGAAGCCAAAGCTAAGTCTTCAATCGGGTCGTTGGACAGAAGCCAAAGCTAAGTCTTCAAGCTAGAGTGTCAGGTAGAAATAGGAAATGTACTCAAGATTTGAAGAACAAAAAGGAGGTTCTCTATAATGTTTTGGCCATTAACTCATTGGGATTTCATATCCTGCCACATATTTTACAAGACCCTTTTAGGTCAAAAAGGAAGTCAATTAATATTTTTGCTATGACTTTGGGTTTTGTTTCAGTCATGGTATGTTGATGGTATTAACTAATAACATATACATAAAAAATGCTTATATTTTATTTGATCACTTTGTTTGTCAAAAATACCTTTTAATGAGTATACTTTTGTCAAAAGACCTTTATTCATAGTTATTCAATTCTTTGCAAGGAAAAATTGACACATGAATAACAAACATAAAAAATTGAACACTCCCACTTTTTACTTTCTTCCTTAAGAACATTTAGTAATAAAAATTATACCATTTGACATAAATATTTTAATCAATAAATTTTTTTTAAGGAAAATATTTTTAGTATTGGTCAATATTAATATGAATTGCAAAGTTCTTTGTAAGTGAATTCAATGATGATTAAAGACATCTATGGAATTCTAAAATCTTATGTAGGTGACAAATTAATGAGTTTTTTTTTTCATTGTAACATACATATGATTTTTTAAAAAAAAAGTTTAAAAAGTGTTTCATAAAGTAATAACAATTGTTATTATACTTTAAATTATTTAAAAGTCATATAATCTGAAAAACTGAATTAGTACAAACGATTATTTGAATCAACACATCTACAAAACCTTCCTTGTGAACAATTTACAGTAGATGGTGAATCGTATGATGCAAGCCCTTGCACAGGTGACAAAGATTGTGGTGAAGAAGCAGTTGGGAGGGTGCCAAGGGAGGAGTTTTGCTGCATACTTCTGAATACAATCCTTACCAGTTGCTGTGATTTTAAATGACTTTTTTAAAGTTTTCCTACACAACTTTCACATGCGGACTGTTCTGTTTTAGGGTTTCTGTTCTTGCTATGTAGCTCGAAAATGGACTCGCACTTTTTTTGGGTGGAAAATACGCGCACTTTCTCGTAGAGCTCGATGGGGATCGCTCGGTAGCCACTTCCTCAAATAGATTCTTAATCATTCCCAGTGTTGCGTGTGTGTGTGTGTGTTTTGCTCAAGAACACTTCGAAGAGAAAAAAAATGGATCTGGAGAGCTCCCGCGATCACGCCTCGCTAGAAAGCATCAAGCCATTGTCGTGTTCCATTGCCCATGGAAGCGCTGCCCGCTATATCTATGGGATTATTTTCATGCTCACCACTCTCATCGCCTGGGTGGTGCGAGACTACAGCCACAGGGCTCTCTCCGAGCTTCATTGTAAGTTTCGTTTCTCTTTATTCTTCCATTTTTTATCCCAAGCTTTTATTGGTTTGAAGATGTGTGTATCAGATTTGGAGGGTTGCCTTGGAGGCCACAACTGTCTTGGATCGGAAGGTGTTCTTCGCATCAGTTTTGGCTGCTTTGTATCCTTTGGAGAAAACTTTCATTCATTGTTGAGTTTGTTTTTCCAGAGTTCCTAAGCTGAACTTGTATGATCCTGCATCTGAAGTTCTATCCCTCAATCTGTCAGTGTAAGGTTATCTTCTTTGTCACGACTCTTCTCCACTCAAAGTTTCAAGCCAGTACTTCATATTTCTTTCCAAAGTTGCTATCAAGGTTTTAGCTCCTCTGGTTCCCGGCGAGTTTTTCTTTCTTCGAGTGTCTTTCCTTGACGCAGACAACTTGGAACTTGAAGGTGTTCTTCCTCGCCATGTTTGTGACAACCGTTGGAACAACGCGTCTGTATGGAGCGCGAGATGTTTGGCACAACAGATGGTGGCCTGCCAAAGGCGTTATGTGGGTGATTCTCATGGTGCTACCCTTCCTTGTTCCTCCGTCGTTTATCCACATCTATGGTAAGTTACACAAGCTCTACGATACAAACGCTCACCGTGAGATCTTCCACTCTCTTTTGCTTAACAGGTGAAGTGGCACGCTATGGAGCTGGGTAAAACTTTCTTTTTTCTTGCAAGAAAACGTAACAAGTGTTTTCCTTGTAGGATTTTCCTTCTTATCCAGCTTCTGAGCGTTATCAATTTCATATACTGGTGGAACGAACAGTGGTTCTCCGAGGAGAGATGGTGTGTAAGTTAACATTGATATATCTTGTGCTACTTTCCTTTTGATATATCTTCTTTACCTTCTTGTTTTTGTGTAGCAAGGCTCCCATGCTTGTGGTTGCTTTTGTCAGCTTTGGAGCCTCGATCGTTGCCACAACGTACATGAGCCTGTGGTTTGCTCCACATATATCTTGCACGCTCAACATCTTTTTCACTTCCTGGACGGCCATTCTCATCAATGTCATGACCGCTATTTCTCTCCACTCCAAGGCAAGTATTGCACATACAAATGGAGTTTTTCTTCATCGTTTTTTCCTTCTAGGTGAATGCTGGACTGATGACCTCGGGGTTAATGTCGGTTTATCTGTGCTTTCTCTGCTGGTCAGCCATAATGAGGTACAAAAATCTCTTTTTTCTTGGGTAAAACCTCACAAGCTTCAATTTTTGCAGTGAGCCATTGTCCGAGGCATGCAACACAAGACCGAGACAAACCGGGAAGAGCGACTGGTTAACTCTGTTGGTAAGCATTGACACTCACTGAATGTTTAATTCCATAGTGGGGAAGTTTCAGAGTTTCGTGATTGCCTTAGCGGCAATTGTGATGGCTGCGTATTCCACCGGAACAGACTCACAAACATTTTGTGTAAGTCGTTGTCTCTCACAATCTTCTCTTGTTTGATTCTTCTTCTTGTATCAGCTGCCCAAGAAAAGTTTCGAGCTTGACGACGAAGTGCCTTACGGCTATGGCTTCTTCCACCTCGTCTTTGCTCTCGGCTCCATGTACTTCGCCATGCTTTTCATCGGCTGGAACCTCCATCAAACAATGCACAAGTAAGAGCACAAGCTCTGGGATTCTTCTTTTCTAGTCTTTGTGTTTCCTTGATCAGATACAGCATCGATGTTGGCTGGGCCAGCGTGTGGGTGAAGATCGCAAACGAATGGGCAGCAGCAGCGATTTACAGTAAGCTCAAAAGATGAGATCTTGGTGAAAATAAAATAAAATTCACATGACTGGGTTGCAGTTTGGACGATGATCGGGCGATTTGTCCTGAGAAACAGAGAGTTCCCATGAAATTTCTTTGGATTGCCCAGACAATAATAAAAGTGTTTACTGTTACCTTTTGATTATAAACAAAGGGTTAAACTGATTTGTTAGAGAACCCTTTAGGTTTAGGGTTTTGGAGCTGGAGCAATGACGCTCTTCCACTTCTTCAATTGCGCCGCGCTCACGTTTGGCCCGCACGCTGTCTACTACAAGGCGACGCCACTGTGAGTATCAATCTGATCTGCCGATCCGAATTGTCTCAGATTGACGCTATGATTGCCTTAGATCTGAGTATGACACTGTTGGGACGTGTGTTAAGGCCGCGCTTGTGTATCTGGGGACTACATTGATCAAGGTAAGCGTTCTCGTGCATAGAATCTACATTGTTTTGGTGTGTTTTCGAGAATCTCCATTGTTTTGGTGTGTTTTCGACCAAAAATCTCTGGTTTTGCTATGCAGCTTGTGCTTTTCGCAACGTTTTTACAGGCATCGGATAACGATGATTTCCATCCATCCCAAGTGAGTGAAGACATTCAAAGCGAGCGAGGAGAGAAAAGAAGAAAAAAAAAGGCCAACTTCTAACGTTTTTTGTTTTCTTTCCAGGAGATGTTGAAGGCGCTTATCGGTTTTCTGGATGTAGCCGGCATGTATTTCGCGCTCACTCAGCTCACGTACCGGAACATCTCTCAGAATCACAAGTTCCAAGCCATTGGACTTGGTATGTTTTTCTTCCTTTATTTTTCCTTTCGAGCGCAGCGCAGCCTTAGAGCTCAAGAGCAGCGTTTTAAAGTTTTTAGATCTTCACAGGATGGGCATTTGCGGATTCACTGCTGCACAGGCTCGCACCGCTGTGGGTGGGAGCAAAAGGCCACGAATTCACCTGGGACTATCTTCTGCAAGGAATTGAAGCAAACGTGAACCTGGTAAGCACCCTTTTGCTGTCTCGAAGTTTTTCTCGACTTTAGTTTTTGCTGTGTCATCTTTTGTTCGAGTTCACGAATTGTTTCTTCTGTGTTTCCAGGTTCTTACAGTGTCTTTGGCCGCTCTGGGATCGCTAATGTGGCTTCGAAAATCCAAGCCGTCGGCATTAGTTCCAATCATCTACACAAGTGCTGGAATCCTCGCAGCTATGCCGTCGATCAGCAGGTTCCTCTCTTCATTTAAAGTTCTTCCGTAGTTGCTGGTGATAAAGAGCTTAAAAGTTTCGTTCGTCTCTATCCTTTCAGCTACTTGCATCGAGGACTTAAGTGGGATTTTTCCAAAGTCGTGGGATTTGAGATGTCGGCAGCGGTGGCCATGGCTTTGGTAACTTGGCGTCTCTTCAGTGCGTGCCAGAGGCCTCAAGCATGACAAGAAGGTGCAAATCTTTTTCCTGGAATTTTTTGAATGGAATCGCAATCTCACTGTAAGGCTTTCCAGCCAAAAGCCTTACGAAACGCTCCAAAATTCCTTTCTTCCGGAGAGAATCGGAGATCTCACTTATTTGATTTGGAGGAGAGTTGCTCTGGGACGAAACAAGAAAGAACAAAGAAAAAGAGAGAGAGAGAGAGAGAGAGAGAGAAAGCTTTCCTGGAATGGTGGTGAGCGAGCTGCTTATCCAAAGATCACATCATTCATGATAACGGTACCTTCTCTCCTGTCGATCGATCGAATCGAATCAAAATGGCTGCTGCCGGCTGATGGCGATCGGGCTCTGCACCATCTGTCGTCCTCCGCGAGTGTTGCTCCAAATCAGCACCCCGAACTGCGTCTCCGACTCGCCCGCCGCCACAGACCGCGACGACTTGGCCGTGATGCTCATCTGAAACTCCATCTTCTGGTTCCTCTTCTGGAACTCGAGCTTGCTGGGCTTGACAGTGATCTCCACTCCCCTCGGCGCCACCACCCTCGCAGTATACAAAGACTTCGCCGGCCCAACGTTGGTCACAGTCCTTGACACCGTGGTGGTGTAAGCCTTCTGGCTCAGATCAAACACCACCGAGAAGGATGGATAGTTGAGGCTGCTGGGCCGGTCCCTCGTCGTGCTGTCCTTGCTACACGAGAAGTGACTCCGGGTGACGGTCGACCGGGCCCTGCTCGAGTAGTTCAGCCCGCACAGGAACCTCTCGTAGTCCCGCACCGACAAGTCGTACACCAGGCCCGGGTCGAGAGCGCTCACGGGGTCCACGAGCCCGGATCCAAAGTCGAATGGCGTGGAAGAGTTGGACGTGGCCTCGTCGCCGATTACGTGCCCGGACTTCCCTTCCATTGTAGAAGTTGTCATGAGCGCCGACCGGATGGCGGCCGGGCTCCAAGTCGGGTGAGCCGACTTGAGCAGCGCGGCGAGGCCACTGACGTGAGGACAGGCCATGGAAGTCCCGGACAGGATGTTGAACTTGACGCGTCTCGTGTCCGCCGAGAGCCCCGTCGGCCCCGCGTCGCCGGTCCACGAGGCCAGAATGTTGACGCCTGGAGCCACCAAGTCGGGCTTGAGTATCTCGGGCGTCTCCGGGTTGGGACCGCGCGACGAGAAGGACGCGATCACCGGAGCGTTGCCGGAGCCATACACTGTCCCCAGGAACTCTATCGTCGCGGTTGGATTCCTGGTGCTGTGCATGTACTTCCGGATCACGCTCCCGGACCGAGCTCCCACTGCTGTCGCCGGGAGAAGATGGCTGTCCGCGACGAGGCCTTCGCCATCCGCGACCGCGTTTGCGAGGATCATCCCGGCTCCGCCCGCCTGGAGGACGTTGTATCCCTTCTCGACGCGAGGATTGCTCCCGCGCTCGCAAAACACGATCTTTC